TACACCATGGAACCCAGGGGTTTCGTGATGTTTTACAGTCTTACTCCGCACTCCCGCACGACAAAAACCTCGAGTTTTTGCACGTTTCCCTGGTTCGAATGACGCCTAAACCTTGCTTTCCAACATCTTTGCGCGCGTACTTCCCAGCTATAAGTACGCGCGAAGACAACATGTTCCGAACAGCGTAGCTCTGATAAGCAAGTGCAGAATCACTGATATTTGCAGTACTTTCGAGCTCTTGCAGCAACTTCTTCTGTTATACTGCCCCATGGTCTCCGGGAAACCCCCAGGGACTTGCCACCCTACACCCTATATAAATGTAGGGGCCTTAATAATCAAAATAGTAGTTTTGGGGCCCTATTCTATAAGGGACCCCTAAAATAGTACTGGTAAAGACTTACAGGCCCCTATATTACCCCAAAAGCCTGATGAGCCTCTCGGCTCCGAGGATGCGAGGTTTAGGGTTTGGGGCTTCCTTCGGGTGCGGGGTTAGGGTTTAGGGTTTAGGGTTTAGGGTTGAGGGTTTAGGGACTTACCGATTACCGATCTTGGGAAGATTTCAGCGAAACTCTACACTCCCAAACCCTTGTAGAACCGAAAAGAGAGAATCCAACATGCAAAGCCTGGTCAAGGGCTTTATATGTAGGAACCACAATTGCATTATCTCACTGTCCTATGCTCCATTCAATGATTGAGTACTGTAAAAACAAATCCAGAACCCCAAACCCTTACCCCCTATACCGAAACGCCATAACCTAGCAGCAACGTAGAAGGCTGCCTAATCAATTGCCTTTGCTAGGAGAGGTGGGGGCGTCCAGCCCACAAAGGCATATTTTAAAGAACCCTAAGAACTTATTCATAAGACCGCTATAAAACTCTTATCAAAGAATGTACCTGGCTAAGAACCCCTCTACAGGTTAAGATGTATTCCTTTTGAAAAAGGGGCTTTGGGGTCGCTGGGTTCGGGCCCCGGGCCACCTCGGCAGTTGCGTTCGCAACCCAAAGCCACACATTCTGGGATGCATCCACGGAGTAGCTACCTGAGGATTTCCCATAGAAGGTCTTTGGGTTTAGGGTTTAGGGTTTAGGGTTTAGGGCTTTGGGCCCAAATTACCTACCCTATTCAGGTGTATGTAAGACAATCAACAAAGGAGCTCTTAGACGGCAGGTTTCATAAGGTTCAGGCGGGGTTTCGGAAACACGTGAGACCCTCGAAGACGATCCCCATTGCAGTCTTGAGGATCGAATTACAGAGAGGTAGTACATAATATAGAGGCTTGGACTATCGGAACAGGGTCTTCGAGTGTTCGGATAGACATGTACTCTATATATATATATATATATATATGCGTTAATTTCTTTTATCTGCTTATGTACAGTAAATTACAAGAGTTAAGAACCCGGCCGGTAAAACATTCAAGCCCCTGTAAGTGTGGACCTGCCCGACAGCGTTTGAGCTCCAAAGGAACCTAAACTGGGGCCAACAGGGTGTGTGCGGTTTAGGACTTAGGGTTTAGAGTTTAGGAGGAAATTATACCCTAACCCCCCCCCAGGTACCTACTACATAGGGTGCTAGAGCCCCTAGGGCCCTATATAGTAGGTACCTGGAGGGTTAGGGTACATGCTTTAAGGGTCTAGGCTTGCCGAGCTTTGGGTTCAGGGTTCAGGGTTCAGGGTTTAGGGTTTAGGGTTTAGGGATTCAGCGAAGCAACCTTCAGGAACGTCCCAGGAGTCTACGATTTCTGGCTTGAGTTGTACAGCGCCGCCCTCCGTGCAGCATCTCTCCCAACTTGGAGGTTCATGGGTAGTTGTAAGTGGAGTTATAAGTCCCCTAATATAGGCTATAACTATAGTTATCCTACTTATAAGGCCACTTATAACTAGCCATGAACCTCCAAGAACATCGCGCAAGGTTGCTATAGTGCAGGAGAGGAGATAACAAATCCGACCCTCTCCTGGCCATCCACGGAAATCTAAAACTTCTTCAAGCTTGGACCAGTCTCCTCTGTTCTCAGCCAGAGAACACACCATGCCGATCTCAGTTCCAGCCCACCGCTTTCTGGCAGCAACGCCACCGATGCAATAAGGCGGGAAGAATGTTGCTTCAACACCCCAAGGTTCAGAATTCAAAGTGGGGCAGAGCAAAGACCGCCATGTCAATTGCATCGCCATCCGTGAAACTTCTATCCCGTCTGGTGGAAAACCTTGGGGAAACCATTGAGCGGCAAACGTAGATCCTTCGGCATGCCTGAAATGTGATGTACTCGAGACTCTGGGACCCCTCTGGGATTGGCCATGATTAACGGGTACAGATTGGGGTTTGGGTTGGGGTTACGACTGTTTTGGGGTTTAGGATTTGCGGATCTTAGGGAATCTTAGGGGTTAAGGCTTTAGAGGGCTCAGCCAAGGGCCTTAGCGTCAGGATACGACGGTTTAGGGCAGGACCTCCATACTGTTGATGGACAAAATCCTGCATTACCCATTATAAGGAATATACCATAATTCCCATAGTTTAAGATTTTGTCCATCAACAGTATGTTCCAGGTCAGTTTTCTTGTGCACTCGAAGCTCTCTGAGGCCAGTAGCCACCTTACTAAAGAAATACATCGCACGGAGCCTGCGGATGTCATAAACAGCATGCTCGACAGAATAAGAAATACCGGGGCTTTAGTACATGGAACAAGGTTTTGCGCTATATCTTATGCTTCTGATCAGGAAACCTGCTACAAACCATTCGGGCTTTGAGACAGCTTGTGGTTCGACTTGCCGCCATAAATGAAAGCTCGACCCCCCCCCCCCCACACACCCCAAGAGATGCCGTGATCATGATCAGGGCTTACAGGATTTAGATCCCATGTCTTTGGTAGGGTTTAGGGTTCAGGGTTTTGGGTTAATTAGGGTTGATACTTTATGGTTTAGGGTTGCGGCACAAAAGATCATTTTAGACTCTAGAATCGATGCCCTACAATGTTAGTACTTTTCGTGTCTAACTCATCTATTCGGTAAAGCCCTTACCGGGTACCAAAAGCACTACAATGTATAGGATCGGGGTAGATACTCCGCTGTGAAAGCCTATACCACCCCTCGAACCCACTGATATCGCCTTGGATAACCCCTAAACCCTAAACCTGGAGATCCCGAAACCCTATGCACCGTCCTCAACTTTAAGCCTAAAAAAGGTCAAGCCCAAAAGAAGTACCCCTGTGGTAGATAGGCTCAGGGTTTAGGGTTTAGTACCGTGAGGAGCCCGCTAATGCTCTAGTAGCAATTTGGGTAACTACCCTATAATTCTATTATTTTGTGATAACGACGTTATGACATTTTCCAGATAAGGGGACCTAGCAACTAAACCCTAAACACTAAACCGTAAACGGTACTAATTACTGAGAACGACATGGAGCCTCAATCCCTCTGCTCTTCGGAAAAGTCGCAGCTTCCCGCCCCACTCGCAAAGAGCGGCGTCCAGCCCGCACCACGGGCGTGGACGCCCTCACCTGGATTTTGTGGGGGTTCAGGGTTAGGGCTGAGGGTCTGTATATTTTGCGGGTCGAGAGGCTTAGGGTGTTGGGCTGCTAACACCTTATGCATTGCCCAACCTTTGGCTCCAAGAGCCTACTCTTTTGATGGTTATACCATGATGTTATCCCGCTATTCCCTAAAATTCGGGGGTCATAACAAGTCACAACACACTATACTACAGGTTCAGGAGCCAGGTATCGTCTCACCCGGGCCGGTTCGAAGATAAGCAGCATCGTCGGTCAGGGTGCACATGCAGACTTGGTGTTCGGGGGTTTCGGGTTTAGGATTTAGGATTCAGGAATTTAGGGTTTAGGAGTATTTAGTGTATCGGAGCTTAGGGCTTAAGGCTTGGAGTGAGCCGGCTTTCGAAGACTGCGCTTTGCAAGATTCTCCCTTCAAAGAAAGCCCTCAAACCTCATCACTCCAAGCCTCATGTCCGAACGGTGAGACACCGCATGGCTGAATTTGCCATATGCCTCCATTAAAGTATTCGCTCTCTCTCTCTCTCTGTCTCTGTCTCTCGTCTAACCCTAAACCCTAAACCCTAAACCCTAAACCCTAAACCATCTTGGTTCCCTAAACCCTAAACCTTCAACCCTACTTCCTCGTGTTGGGACCAGGGCAGCTCCCGGAAGCCAGAGTTGCAACCGAGAAGTCCTTGAGCCCTAAACTGTCTGGTGCTTAGTAGGGAATGGGGGAATGGAGCCCTATGATAGCCCCTTAAGGTCCCTTATAGTAGTCCCTGTAACCCATTCCCCCATTCCCTACTAAGCACCAGACAGTAAATCAAGCCAGGAATCCAGCTTTGGACCTTCAACCAAGAGCCCGAAAGGTTTAGGGCTTTAAGGTTCTAAGACCCTCGTTCATCCCTAGCAAAGGCCCTGTAAAACCCAGCAAAGCGCTTCTAAACTTCTGGTATAACCCAATTCCCTAAACCCTAAACCCTAAACCCTAAACTAACCCCTAAACCCCAAAACCCCAAAGGAGCGCCTTTCAAACCGATGCCAACGGCAGCATCTGCCTCGGACTCGTCCCTGCAGGTCCTTGCGCTTTAGGGCTTTGAGGGGGTTTAGAGGGGTTTAGAGGGGGTTTAGAGGGGGTTTAGAGGGGGTCTAGAGGGGGTCTAGAAGGGGTTTAGAGGGGGTTTAGAGGGGATTTAGAGGGGGTTTAGAAGGGGTTTAGAGGGGGTTTGGAGGGGGTTTAGAGGGGGTCTAGAAGGGGTTTAGAAGGGGTTTAGGGCTTTGGGGTGCAAGGGTGTGGGGTTTTAGGGTCTGTAGGGTTTAGGGTTGAGGGGTTTGGGAGGTTTTGGGGTGCAAGGGTGTGGGGTTTTAGGGTCTGTAGGGCCACTGTAGGGTTTAGGGCTTAGGGGTTTGGGAGGTTTTGGGGTGCGAGGTGTCAGGATTTAGGGTCTATAGGGTTCAGGGTTTAGGAGTTTGGGATCAAGCACTTTTGAGGCTACAGGGTTTACGGGTGAGGGTTTAGGCTTTGGGGTTTGGTGGGCCAGAAGAAGTCGTTGCGTTTTTGTTTCTGGGGTATAGGACTGATCGTGTTAAATTTTAGGGTTCTCGCAGGTTTTGCGACTCAAAACATGTTCCAATCTATTTTGGCATAAAGGTGAAAGGTTAGAGGTTCAAGGTCTTTGGTCCCTTCCCTACTTCGTCTGATCGCACTCCGGGGCTTTCCATGAAACATCCGATGTTCATGCTTATCGGGCGTAAGGCTGGGCATGCAGGCTGCCTAAGAAGGTCTCCAGGAATTAGCCGTCAACGTAGTACATATGCCTGAAGCCCATGCCTTGAACCCTACACCATTCTACTTTACCTACACTTCAAACATGTCGCCCAGAGGAGACCCTTTAGTAAATCAGCACCGGGAGCAAGGACCGCGACACGGAAAGCCCAGAATCGGACCCCAGATGCATTATAAATATATACCGCTATATTCTGTAGGGGCCTTTTTTAATTTCAATAGGTTTTTTGGGGCCCTTTGTACTATACTTATAATGAATAACCCCCAAAGGTAGTATTGGCAACTATTATTTAGGCCCCTATATTGCCCTCTAAGCCGTAAACTTGCACTGAATCTTCTACAAAAAGCCCATGCAAGCCCTATAGGCACTACAACACAACGAAACCCTAAGACCGAAGACGTAAACCAATGCCGATGTGCTTGGAAGCGCAGTTGGCGCAGAAGCCCCAACGCGCCTGTGGAGAGCTCAGAGTGCAGCCCACAGAAAGTGCTTTATAGTTTAGGGTTTAGGGTTTAGGGTCTATAGTTTGTCAGAAGAAGCTTTTTGCAGGCTTTGTTTGCAAGCTTGTATCGGGGTTCTACAAAGAGCCGCGAAGTTTTCTAGGGTGATGAAAGGGGCTTGTGAAAGGTTTCATAGGGCTCTGAGAGGGTTTTGCAATAAGGGGTCTTCTGGTGTTTAGGTTTCAGGCCTCAAAACGTTCAGGGTTGAGGGCTCGAGAACCCCTTTAAAGCACGAAGCCTGAAACCGTCCACCAAAGGCTTGCACCACAAACGCGGAGGGTTCATAGGTTCATGTCATAGGTACTACTATTGCGGAAGTATGTCCCCAAAACCGTAGTCAGGATGGCCTTTTGGGGTCCAATTCCGTAGCAGTAGTGTATGTGGACCCTCTGGGAAACTTTAACGCCTGTAACCGCAGATCACCTTCTTCCCAAAACCCTACACACCCATAACCCGTCCCAAAACCTTGAACCCTAAACCCTGAACCCCAAAACCGCTAACCTCTCGCTCTCCCCAAACCCAAAGCCCAAACCCCAAAACCCTAAACCCAAACCCATAACTCGACTAAAGCCCTGAACCCTGAACTCATCGCTAAGCATGAAAGTTCCACAGGAAGCCTTTAAACAAAAAGCAGGTGCCCCCTTTTCCCAGGGTCTGGTGTTTAGGGTTTAGGCTTTCGGGTTTAGGGTTTAACTAAACCCTAAACCCTAAACCCCCCTAAGGCAATAAGAATGAGACCCCACATGAAAAGAGCACAGGCTTCTGCCGGGGTTTAGGGTCTTAGGAGTTTAAGATTTACGAATTAGGGACTTATGGTTTAGGGTTTAGGGGAAAACCTAGTAGAAGGTGTTACTAGGCTAGGATCCAAGCCGCTCATCACGGTTCGGCACCAGGGCTCTACAAAGCGGTTTGAGATGACCCGTGGAGCCCCTGTTGGTAAGGACCCTTGTGCTTACAGCTCTACTGAAAGAGATCTTGTAAGATCCCTGGCTAGCTTTCCCCAAGAGTCCAAGCCCATAGGAGGGTTTTTAGTTAATGCAGGTCCGTTGAACCAGGCATCTAAAGAAGGCAACTTCTCAAGAAAATGAGCCCCCCAGCTCTGAAACCGAGATTTAAGGTTATAGTTCCAGGCTGTTCAGGTTTAGGGAGGGACAGGTAGTGACCTATCATGACAAGTACGTTGAAGGGTCTCAGCTCAGGTAGCAAAGCCACACGGCCGTTTAAAGTTTAGATATCCGGGTAGTAACGAGACCGTCCATGTTTGGCATTCTAAGTAGCCTGGCTCCCCTAAACCCGAAAACCGTAATCCCTAAACCCTATGATATGAACCCTCGGAGCCCACCTTGTTGCGGTGCGGACACTCCACATTGAAGCCCGGGTATAGCCTCAGATCTTGAAAAATGAAACAAGTTGCGGCTCTGCCCAAAATCATGTAAGCCCTGACCCTGTGAAGCGAAACTACCCGCAACCGAGAAGATCTACTTTCCTCAGAGGTTACAAACAAGCTCCATAGTAAGGAAGCCTAAGAACGTAATTTGGTCTTTTGCAGCCCTAACCTTGAAAACCCCGAGGCTTTCGTGCGTATGCGCTGCAGGGGTTGTCCAAAGTAGAATAGGGCGTGGGCAACATGTCATGCAGTCATACTAGTGCTCAGGGGGACTTTTAGAATGCCAAGCGTGCGCAGCTTTATGTTAATCCAGACAGTCCGCGCTGGCGGGCAAGCGAGACTGTAGCCCTGCGCATGCGAAAAAAAAACAAAAGTTGATTCAGGCCCCCTAAACCCTAAACCCTAAACTGTCAAAATCAGCGAGTCTAAACACCGAACCCAACTACTGCACGAACCCGCAGGATCCCTGGAATGTAGTGGCCTTAATAAATAGAATAAGGTAGAATAAGGTTTTGGGGCCCATTGTGCTATAAATATATTGAAGAACCCCCCAAAATAATGGAGGTAATTATTTGGGCCCCTACATTATACATAAGGAACCTGACATAACCACCATGGCATAGGGTTCAGGATAAGTAGAGTATGGTGTTGGGATATAGCATTTTGTCTCGCTACATGAAGGACGATAGGGGACGAGTGGTTCTCATGATTCCGACCCCTGTACTTGGCATGAAGGCCTCAGTTCCTATCAGGGTCCGAGTAGCCAAGGTTTAGGGCTCAGGGGCTTAACAGTTGAATGAGGTTCTCAGCTACTTTGGAATAAAGTGAAACCGACTCTGAGGGTAATTTCTTGCGCCTCGTGAATGGCACCCCAAAAACCCAAGCGATAACTCAGCAAAGCACGGCACCCAGCTCCAGCAAAGGTGCATGGGACAGGTCCGGTAGCTGCTGGGTGAGGCTCCGAATGCTTGCCTTGACGGAAACGTGTAAGGCTCAGCAGTTGAGAACGAGAGTACCAGTCACTACTCGGTAGCATACATGAGCAAACATGTCCGCATGTGCTCTCTCCCTTTGTCTATACGTATCTGCAGCATCGTCAGCACCATCACTATCCTCATCATCATATTCACCGCCATATGCCTCATCACCCTCATCATCATCATAATCGTCACAGCAGTGTCGATATGAAATGTCATGCATGGATAAGCAACACAGGCAAGAGCAGTGTTAAATCCTGACCCATCATATTGTGCACAATGCTACCCACACTCGAAAGAAGCGTCAAACTCGTAGCACGACCGGTATGATATCGGAGTCTGAATAACTAACAGGGATAGGTTTGGGGTACGTCAGACTACTATTAAGTGATTACAACAAAGTGTAGACGTGAATACTCCATGCCAGGGCTGATCAAGCTGACGTGCACTTGGTAAAAGTGTGAAACTGTTGCTACGGTTAGCTTCGGACGCCAGAAGGCGTTATAAGGGTTCTACATATTTGTGGATCACGGCTTTCATTCGGCTTTATCCTAGAGGCTTCCATAAGGTTAAAGGTTTTGTTAATCTGGGGTTATGTAATGTTGGAGTTTGGAGTTTTCGATTTGGTGTCCAGGCCTAGAACATGCTGAGGGGTTTAGGGCATGCCAAGGGGCACGAACCCGGCTTGATCCACCGTGCTGTCTCGCACGTAGCCCGTGGAAAACAGCTCTCTGGCACCTGAACGGCAGAAGGTCTGGGGTTTAGGGTTTAGGGTTTAGGGTTTAGGGTTTCGGGTTTAGGGTTTAGGGTGTAATTCTGAGGCTAATACTAGCCACACAGCCTTACGTGGTTTTGTCGCTGGGCGACTTAGAGCCTTAGTGTACGTCGGAGCTCGGCTTCGGGAGTATCGAGCGTAAACGTTCAGGGCAGTCCAGGGATGAGGATGCGAAGATGTTCGTCAGGTCCCCAGAGACTTCAATATCCCTTATTTAAGGAATATACCTTAAATCATATTAGGGATCCTACTATAATTTAAGGTATATTCCTTAATTAAGGGATATTGGAGTCTCTGGGTCTAAGGCCGTTAAAACCTTTAGAATTCCAGGTTCTGTTCCGCTGCTATCATGTGCGGCTTATGATTCTATGAGAAGATGCCTGCAAATGAAGCAAAACTGTGATCTTGTTAAGGAACTCCCTACTAGTTGGCTTTGATAGGGTTACCCAAAGGGCAAAAGGGTTTAGGGTTTAAGGAACTTAACAAAAGCAAAAAGCAGAACTACCAGCAGAGCAGTCGCTAGGCCTCAGGCCATACCAAGTATTTTGAAGCTCGGAAAATCCTATGGCTTGTGGTTCAGGATATATCCCTGAGGGTCCAAAGGACGTAGTAATCAAGTGCTTGGTCATAGATAGTAGTATATGGGTAGTTCTCTAAATCAGGGTCCCCCTTATAAACGGACCCAAAAAGGGACCCTAATTTAGAGAACTACCCATAATAGGTATAGGTATTTGGACCTTTAGGGTATGCTTTTGAAGCGCAGGGTGAGGATGAGGAGGGGATGGCCAGACCACTAATCTAGGGCCAAGATAATTACCAAGACTGTTCCTTATTATAATTATACTTATAGTACAATGGGCCTCAAAACCCTATTCTAACTATGAAGGCCCCTACATTAATGGTTTTGGAGTAGTCTCATGGGCCCCCAAACCCTATTCCAATTATGAAGGCCCCTATACTAAACCTCAAGTTCGACTCTCAAGGCACTGGCCCACGGCGTCGCGAATCGATGATGCACACAATGGCCATGCCTGGCAAAGCTTAGAAAGCACCCGGCTTTTACGCTGAAAACCCTTGACGTTTTTGGCGATCCTAGGAGAACGCACAGTTGCAACTAAGGGTGTGTGGCTTTATTGATGTTTGGTCGAAGCTCTGTAAAACTCTGATACGCGCATCCCAGAACGTCCTAAAGCCTAAACCCTTACAGACCCCCTTCCAAAACCCCTTTGAACTCCGTGAACCATCACAAAGCCATTAAGAGCCCTATTAATACACTCGTTTGCGTCATATCAAACCCTTCCAAAATTCCTCTTTGCAAAGCCGTGCAAAACCCCCGTAAACCCAAAACACTTGAAACCCTGAAACCCTAAACTTTGCAGTAATGTAGGGGCCGAAATAATTACCAATGCTATTTTGGGGGTCTTACTATATCTACAGGATAATGGGCCCCAAAACCCTATTCTAATTAAGAAGGCCCCTACACCCTATAGTAGCCCTTATCCAAAGCCCTATTCTGATCATGAAGCTATATTATGCTTAAACCCTAAACCCTACACCCCAAAACCCCTTAACCCCAAAAACCCAAAACCCTAAAACCAAAGCCCCTAAACCCTAAACCCCAAAACCCAAAACCCTAACCCCTATATTATGCTTACAGAAAGGCTGCAGCGCCGAGCGGCGGGCTGCCCACACAGGCCCGCAGATGTGTGAATGGCAGGTCCAAATACCTTGAGCTTTAGGGTTTAGGGTTGAGGGTTTAGGGGGATGGGTGTCTAAAGGGTTTAGGGTGTAGAGCTTGAGGGCTTCAGGGTTGTATGGCTTAGGGTTTCGGGCTTGAGGGCTTCATGGTTTAAGGGTCTAGGGTTTAGGGTTTGAGGGTAATGGTCGAGCGTTTAAGTCTTCAAGGGTTTAGATTGTTTTGGATACTGTTTAGATGCTGGCGTGGTCTGATTGTCGTAAAGGTTCCATGTCGTGTTGCTGGAGGGTCGCTCAAGGTCTTGCGCAGGGTTTCGCCGGGTGTTATGCACCAGGCCTGAACACCAAAAACTCAACCCAGAACCACAAAACCCAGAGGTCGCGAACCCTGAAAAGTTCAAACTCAAGGCTCTCGATCTCGATCTGGAAATCATGAACCTCCAAGGTCAAATCTGAAACCCAGAGCTCGTTCATATGTCGAAACTCCAGCTTCTATCTTTTGTTCTTACGCGACGTAGCAGCCGCAGTGGCAGAAGCAGCAGCAGAAGCAGGCGCGCAGCAGCTACAGTAGCAGCAGCAGTGGCAGCAACAGCAGAAGTAGCCGCAGCAATAGGACTGGCAGTGGCAGTACAAGAAGTAGAAGTAGAAGTAGCAGTAGAAGTAGAAGTAGAAGTAGAAGTAGAAGTAGAAGGAGGAGGAGCAGGCGGAGGAGGAGGAGGAGGAGAAGGAATCATGATCATCATCATCATCATCATCACCATCATCGTGACCATCACCATAGTCATCATCATCATCATCATCAACATGATCATTGTCATCATCATCATCATCAACAACATCATCATCATCATGAAGATCATCATCATCATCATCAGCAGCACCATCATGACCGTCATCACCATCACCATCCCCATCGCCATCATCATCGTCATCAACATCATCATCATCATCATCTGCAGCAGCAGCATCAGCTCATCATGATGATCGTCATCGCTATCGTCAACATCATCGTCGTCACCATCATTATCACCATCACCACAATCATGATCATGATCGGCTTCAACACCAACATCATCATCGCCATCATCATCCGCGGCATCATCGTCATCATCATCGTCAATATCCCCATCACCACGTCAGCATCACCATCAGCGGCAGCATCCATCATCGTCAGCGCCATCATCATCATCATCATCATCATCATCACCATCATCATAAACACCGTCATCATCGGCATCGTCTTCATCATCACCATCATCATAAACACCGTCATCATCGGCATCGTCTTCATCATCATCGTCATCGTCATCATCATCAGCAATAGCATCGTCAGCATCATCTTCATCACCCTCATGACCAGGCTCACCATAATGATCGAAAAAGCATGGTGGCAGCGATGCAGGGCTTCTTGCGATTAAACCATCTTATAACCAACACCCATGAACCTGCAAGTATGAGCCCTTTATAGACCCCTCTACAACCCGAAGAGGAGCCCTCATAGATCTCTGAAAGGAACCCCATAACTAGCCATGAACCTCTAATTAGTATCCTACCCTCAGTCAAGTCGCGTCGGGTACTTGGCATTCACGGGAACTCCTTCCGGCGAGTCGGCATTCCTTTGCAAGCGGGCCCTACAAACACGCTTAGAGCCGGTTTTAATAAAGTAATGGAGTATGTAGTAGTATGGTAGTGCAGTATGTAGTAGTATAGTAGTCATAGTAAAGTCATGTAGTAGGCAGCAATATAGGAATATTTGGATAAGGGCCTTGCAGGGGTTCTATTTCGGTTCCAATTATCCCCCTGACGCTAAGCCCTAAACCCACAACTCAAGACCCTGAAAGCTGAACATGCGTTGAAGGCTATGCGGAGTAGACGCTGCAATCCAAAACCTCAAATCCAAGCCTTTAAGCGCTGAACCCTAAGTGACCAATTTACAGGCCTTGTAACAATTGGAACAGGGTTTTGGTGCGTTTTGCAGTATAAATGGATCTGGGAGCCGTAAGGACAAAGTATCGGGATTTGTGTGGAATTCGACGAAGAATACTTCAATCGTTCCCGCCCCCTTGGCTGAAACCCTTACTCTAACCTGAAATCGTCGCACCTTGAAGCCTAAATGCATGATTCAAGCCAGGGCTCAAGAGCTCCGTGTTTTCCCACAGCGGCGACTCATAGCCGAGGTCTTCGCCGTCGGAGAACTTCATGATCAAGACCCAAGGCTCCTTCAGTATAGCTTCTGTGTGTAACATGCTGTTAGGTTTTATGTGCTAATATGACATCGACGACGTGACCGCAACCCGGTTTGCCACTACTACCACTACTACCGCTATTGCTACTACTATAGTTGCTTAAAAATAATACATATAGACATGAAAAGCAATTCCAGCTGCTACTACTACTGCTGCTACTGCTACTACGACGACGACGACGACTACTACTACTACTACGTACTACTACTTGCTGCTACTACTACTACTACTACTACTACTACTACCACCACCACCACCCCTGCTCCTACTCGGACTGCGACTGCGCTTGCTACGACGACTGCAGGGACTGCGAGTGTGCTACGACTGCGACTGCTACGGCTACGACTAGCACGACTGCGAGTACGAGTACGACTACGAGTACGACGGCGGCGATGACGACCATGAAGACTACTAGGACTGCAACGACGACGACCACGACTACGACCACATCCCTGAACCCCAAAGCCATGCAGAAATGACAATACACACAAATACCTATGCAAAACCCTATCTAACCCCTAAACCATATAATTTAACAGGCGGGTAGTGCTCAAAATGTGTGTCCCTCTTTAGGCCCCAGATATACTGCGGCACCCCTATAAAAAGGACCCTAAAAGGGACCCTAATGTAGAGAACTACCCATGTAAAAGATGAGCAATGTAGGGGCCTAAATGATTGCCAATATTGTTTTGTGGGTTCATAATGATAGCTAGATATACCCTCAAACCCTATTCCAATTATGAAGGCCCCTACGTTACTCATTGGCTCCTTGTCGGAGTCGGCGTCCACTGAGATGCCGTTTGCTTCCACAGAGGCCCTCAGCCAAACCGAAAGCTCTCCGTGGGTTCAGGGTTTAGGGTTTAGGGTTTAGGGTTTAGGGTTTAGGGTTCACACCTTAACCTACCAAAACCTACTTTTTTGCAGGCTCCCCTATATACCAAAACCTACTTTTTTGCAGGGTCCCCTATAAATTTCAAGTTAGGGTTTATAATAAGAACCCACAAACAAGTAGTGTTTGGCAGTTTAAGTTGAGGTAAGGTCACAATCTCAATTCAACTCGTTGGTTGGGATTTGGCGGGTTGAGGAATTATGGAGTTTCGGGCCTTTCACCCCCTTTTCAATGGGGTTTTGCGCGTCTGCGAAGCTTGCTGCCAGGGCACACATGGAGCCCCACCCAAAGCCCATCTGCTGCAGCGTTGGACCAGCCATAGCTGTCCGAGAAAAGGCGCACCTCGCTCAGGATTCAGGGTTCAAGGTTGGGGCTTTATACCTATTCTAAACAATAAACCCTAAACCCTAAACCCTAAACCCTACTCAGGCTGCATTGTCAGAAGGATCCTACTAGTTTGGGGTCATAATTTGGGGTGAAAAACCCAGGGCTTGGTCGGGGTGGGTTTGAGGGTTCAGGGTTGTGGGACGTGGTGGACGGCTTCGGGTACTTGGAGGTTCATGGGTAGTTGTGAGTAGGGTTCTAACAAGGGTAACTATAGTTATAACCTATAATTATTAGGGGACTTATAACTCCACTTATAACTACCCATGAACCTCCAAGTAAGGTTTTCAGTTTTGGCAATGCCACCATGTGCTACATTGCTTACGAGTCCCGAGATCGTCCAAGTACCCTTGCTCCAGCTTAACACACGGAAGTACAGCGAACCCCAGAAAGTTGGAACATGGATTTAGGAGGATTAGTGCTAGGACCCCTTATACTTCACCTTAAGGGTATGCATGTTCCAACTTTCAAGCTTCTACTATAGATGGGAGCTTTCACAGGAATACTGCCATGCAGAAAGCCTTCCTTGTCCGTGCAGAATAATATCAGCTAGCAACAGCGGGAACGATCAACAGACGCGGACAAATCAGTCTGCCACCCTATGCCCTGATCGGTGGGTTTTAAGGTCTATAATGTAGGGGCCTTAATAATTAGACTAGGGTTTTGTGGGTACTTTACTATAATTAGAGTAGAATATACCCCCAAACCCTATTCTAATTATTAAGGCCCCTATTTTAGGTTTAAAGGTTTAGGGTTTGGGACAAGGCCTTAAATTGGAGTTGCTTACTTATCAAGTTCTGGTGTGGTCGGTCCTGCCAGACCCCCGACGGAAGCTGCGGCCGCGCGCAGGTGACCCGCGTGTCGGTCCAGTTCAGTGTCTGGCACTGGAAGTTCGTTGCGGGGTTGCCTTGGTATTTGACACTTGGGGGACTCAGAAAGTAGGGTTTATCGGTTTAAACTTAAAAGCGTTTCTAGAAGGTTCTCTAAGGGTTATAAGGGTTTAGGGGACCTAGTAAGGTCATAAGTACCTCAATTACCGTTGCAAGCAATTCCAACTGTGGCGGCCTTGCCTTTTTCCCTACTTACCACAGGCCTGATCCTTCAACAAACGACTTTTTGGAGTTTGGGCTCCAGATCCCTACGCCCCTAATCCGACGGTCCGTGAGTGCGTGTATGTTTATAGTCTTTCGGGCTGGGCGGGCTCGGGTTCACGTTTAGGGGTTTCTTGGCGGTTGGGGGATGCTTGGCTTCTGGGATGCTTCTTCTGGGTGGGGTTTAAAGGGTTAGGGGTTTAAGGGATGAAAGTTCGGTGCAGCGGGCGATTCTTTCGGGGCATGTGCCCATAAGAATGGTCATACGTATGGACCTTCTGCATCGGATCTAGAACTTCGAATTCCTGGCTTTCGCCTTCAAGACGTTGCAAATCGGACATACTGCGGCGGACCGACCACAACTCCGAGGAACATAGGGACCCTGAAAAATGGCCTAGGCTTTTGGGATATGAATGAAAGTATGATTATCGGGACTATGCACCGGGATACCACCACCACCACCACCACTACTACTACTACTACTACCACCACCACCACCACCACCCTAAACCCGAAACACTAAACAGCTGCAACTAAGAGTTCCGCATCATTATCACTATCAACCCCTACATGTAGCTCGTTGAGAGGCCACTCCTCACGCATTCGATTCGCCATACAGTAATGCACACAATGTGCGATTAAACAGTAACCACTTACTATAATGACAGTACCGAAATGTTGTTATAAACACGATTAGTTATCACAACAACAGCACTTTGCTCCACCCCCAGAAACCCTTCAAGAAGTGAGCGGGTGAATGCAAGTCGCTGGCTGTGCCGATGGCCACATTTCCCGAAACCCCAAAGTTGCGGCCCTGCAGCACCTCTCGGTTTAGGGTTGAGGGTTTCGGAGTTTAGGGTTTAGGGTTTAAGGGTTTAGGGGTTTAGGGGTTTAGGGTTTAGGGGTTTAGGGTTTAGAGGTTTAGGGTTGTAGAGGTTTCGGGGTTTAGGGTTTAGGTTTTCCGGATTTCGGGTTTAGGGGTTTAGGGTTTAGGGGGGTTTCGGGGTTTAGGGTTTAGGGGTTCAGGGTTTAGGGTGACATATGGGCTCCACTGTGGGTTCCTTCACGGGTTACTACAAGGGTTCCATAGCTACAGTGGTTCGTTTACGGGAGGTTTTAGGGTTGGAGTGTTTCGGTTTGTGGGGCTTAGTGTAGACCCCTGATCAATACACCCCTTCTCTATAAAGGCCTGAATATCTGAGGCTTCTTGACCAGGGTCTACACTAAAGTTCCGGGACTAGGTGTTCGTGGCTAACACGTCGTTTCTCACACTGAGTGCAGAACGTACCGCTAACAGCGAGCAGCGAGCACATTGGAAGTTTCCTGTTGGGCTTGTGCTTCCTACTCGTGGGGCAGATGCAAAGGGACTGCGGCAAACAAAATAACGGCCGAACCCTTAAAACCTACGAGACTCCCAACCCCCGCACCCGAACCTAACCCACCAAACAAGAACTAGATAATCCCAGCCTATTTGCTTTCTGCGTCCAGAAGCCGGTCCTGCTCGACTCTAATATGAACTCAAAGGTTTTAGCACAATTCGACACCCTAGTTCGACCAACCTGGGCCCAAAACAGAGACACTAAGTAAACCCTGCAGTATGAGCCCCAAATCCTGACTAAATTACGCAGCAAGCCCTAAACCCTAAACCCTAAACCCTAAACCCTAAACCCTAAACCCTAAATCCTAAACCCTAAACCCTAAACCCTAAACCCTAAACCCTTTAAGGGTTCCTTTGCAGCTCAAGGAGCGACTTCCGTGCCGTCAGGAGCTTCCAGGAGCTGCTCCACCATGGGCGCAGCTTCCGGAGCGTCGTAGGTGTAGGATAGGGTCGGAGACTCCTGAGGGGAGGGGGGGGGGGGGGGGG